AAGAGCCTCTTGATGCAGGTGAAGGAGGAGAGCACAAAAGTTGGCTTGAAACTCAACATCAAGAATACTAAGATCATGGCATCTGGTCCTCTCATTTCCTGGCAAACAGATGGGGAAGAAATGGAGGTAGTGACAGATTTTATTTTCCTGGGCTTCAAGATCACCACAGATGGGGACTGCAGCCAAGAAATTAAAAGACGCTTGCTCCTGGGGAGGAAAGCTATGGCAAATCTAGACAGCATACTAAAAAGCAGAGACATCAGCCTGCCAACAAAATTGCATATAGTCAAGGCTACAGTTTTCCCAGTTGCAATGTATGGCTGTGAAAGCTGGACCATAAGGAAGGCTGAGTGCCAAAGGATTGAGGCCTTTGAATTGTGCTGCTGGAGGAACCTCCTGCAAGTCCCTTGGACCGCAAGGTGATCAAACCAGTCAGTCCTAGAGGAGATCAACCCTGACTGCTCTTTAGAAGGCCAGATCCTGAAGATGAAACTCAAATACTTTGGCCACCTAATGAGAAGGAAGGACTCACTGGAGAAGAACCTAATGCTGGGAACAAGAGAAGGCAAAAGAAGGAAGGGATGGCAGAGAATGAGGTGGCTAGATGGAGTCACTGAAGCAGTTGGTGTGAGCTTAGGTGGATTCCGGGGGATGGTGGAGGACACGAAGGCCTGGAGGAATGTTGTCCATGGGGTTGCGATGGGTAGGACACAACTTCGTGACTAACAACAACACCTATCTACATTTAAGCACCTACTTTTCAATTTCCTCCACAACTAACCCTAACTAAATAAAAGCTTAGAAAAGAATTGCCTTTGGTATCCCTCCACTGATTCAACTTTTGAATAACTACTGTTTGAATTGTATTTGTTGTAAACCATTTAGCAACATTGATACACAATTTGCATGGATTTATCTCTGCCATTTCAGATGAAAAATGTGCATGGTAGGAACTGTCAATTTTAATTTACTCTTGTCATATGAACTGTTTGTACTATTTGTTTCTGTTGATGGACAACTGAGTCAGTAAACCATGAGAAGTGCACCACTCTGAGCCTGCATCTCAGGAGATCACTTAAGTCACATGTTCCTAAATCTAGTCCTAAACCAGTCCACAGTGGACAGAATAAGTCAAGAATGCTTTCATATTTTCTACCTACAAGGAACTCTTTCCACCTTATTTTATCTAACAGGGATCCACCATCTATGAAGTTTTAGAATTCTTGTGCTATTTGTAAGATACTGAGATGTGCTTTACAGTGCCCAGGCATTTTAGAAAGAGTGCTGGCCAAGCCACATCCTTACACAAACCTGAACATGCACATTTATTACCAAGACAACACTCCTTGCCTGTGGTGTGCAGGGCAAGATTGACAGTGGGCAGTGGAGAAGAAAACCTGCCTTTCAGAGAAGCTTGTTCACCATTGGTAACTTTCTCAGTGAGAAATATGTAACAGTCTTCTAAGGACTGCCCTTCCCTCCGGTTCTCAGAACACCATTTGCAAACCACTGGTTTTATGCTTGTTTTTTTAAAAATGAAAGGTGCCTATAGGTCCTGTCCTCTTCTCCTCACTAGTAAATTAAGCTTTACTATATTTCTTCGTATGTCTCACCTGATGAATCTATGCTTTTTCCAGTTAGCCAAGACATTTCTTGCAATTTGACATCAGAACAGAAATCAGGATCAAATCATTTGTGGAAGGTTTGTTCTGCCACCCAGTGTTCATTTAGCAGAAAGCCAAAACAAAATGTCACCACAGCAAGCTACATTCACTACCAGGAACTGACCTTAACCGTAATCTATACAGTAATAACATATTTAGCATATTTGATAACAGAAGAGCATTTGATTCCTATATACTGTCCTAGCATTTACTATCCACTGATTGTGTATTTTTGAGTCAATTTCATGTGCTGATTTTGATCTTTAATGCTGTGAAAATTTTGAAACCAAATTACTTGAAGGCCTGCCTTCCCCCATAGCAATCTGCCTGCTCTTTAAGATCAGTAAGGCTCTTCTCATTTGCCCATCTATAAAAGCAGTTGTGTGAGCAACCACACAGAAGAGGGCCTTTCCTGCAGCAGCCCCACACCTGGGGAACAAGTTTCCTTAGGGGGTCTGCCAGGTGCCATCACTGCAGGCTTTAAAAGATCCTAACAGCCCACTACTTACTCTGACTTATCTCTGATGATGTTAAGTGAGTTGTAGTGCAGTCGTCTGTTGTAACTTTTCTTTTATGCTGGTATTTGCCGATTATTAGGTTCTTCCCTGCTGCTGCTTTTATTGTGTTTCCACTGTTTTTTTATTAAGACACCAGCTTTTATTATGTGTTTTGCTGCTATGCATCACTTTCAGAGAGCTCCTGCTCTGAAAGGTGGCCAAGGCATCTTTTAATCATTCATTAGTCACAAATAACAGTGACAGTTCTAGGAATTCCAGAGGAAACAGAAGTATGGCTATCAACATTAGCATCATCTAAGATGATAATTCCACATTTTACTGCGAAGCATAGGAAATTGTGAAGAATACCTTCCCCTCCCTTCACATTTACCTGAAGATATCAATTCAGATAATTGAATCTTGGCAACACTTTCTAAAAGAAAACAGATTAAGAATGTTATTCATTTTAGGAGACAAAATATGTTGCTTTTAAACTATGCGCTCGCTCGCTCGTGCTCTCTCTCTCTCTCTTTCTCTCGCTCTGTGCGGGGGCGGGGGTAAGAGTCAAGCTTCCAGTCCTTATAAAACACAACAACAAAAACTTTACTTGGTTACTTGGCACAAAGTACATGCTCAATTTTTCCTCCTCTCTCTCCCATTCCTTCATTTCTTTTTATTCACCTGCAGACAACCTCAGTTCATTTTGTTGGCCAAACTGAACTAAAAACTGAAACAAATTTCAAATTCTCAGTTTTCTATAGGGTCTCTCTTGAAGGGCACACAAGCTTTTACCTAAGCATTACAAATAAGAACAAAGAAACCATTGTTTCCCGCTTCAAGAACAAAGTATAGCTATCTTCCACCTTATGCCCACCACACCCCTTTCTTTCTTGCCCATGAGAAGGAATTCAAAAGATGCCACTACAGATTTTAAACTAAACATAGTTCCTTGTGGTGTCTGTATTCAGGCAACTGGTTTTATAGTTTGCAAACAAGCGAGGATCTGAATCTGTGGTTTGATCCTGGCTTATTCCCACTAACAAACCACAGTTACTTCAATTTGGATGTCACAGAAAATTGTGGATAGTTTAAAAAAACTGTTTTCAGTCTCATCCTTTAACACATGAAAGATATGGAGAGAGGAAAGTGCACAAGGCCTAGCTCATGCAGGTTCATTCATGCAGACTGAATCCATGGCTTTTCATTGCATTTGAAATGAACTGTGCCATCTATCAATACGTATTTAGATTAACCACAGCAATTTTAGCCTGATACTGCAGGTGAAATGGGTTACACATCTTACCAATACATGAGCAGGGGGAGAGTGATTTCACTGACTAGCCCAGTGGCAAGTCCTCCAGATGGCCATGTTCCCTTCTCCTCAACCACATTTAGTGGTTTTTGTGTTTTTCCCTTAGTTTCTGACAGTAAAAGCTTTCAGTTGCAAAATATTTGCATTTTTGTCCCTACCCCAGTTGCCTTCAGTCCCACTCACCACTGGAATTAGGTCCTTGAGGGCTTCTCTGAATTTGAATTTGGCCCTTGGCAGAAAGAGGTTCCCCCAGCCCTGGACTGTCCCACTGCTGATATTGTACAGTCCAAAAACCTATGCTCTGGTGTCCAAATATACAGTGTGACCATCTGCAGGGAGGAAGCCTTCATGCATACAGTTTTACACATAAAGTCAATCTCCTTGAAGAATAAGGGGCCACAGATATTATAAGAATATGGTTTGGAAGACTTACTTTCCAGCTGTTCTACTACAGCAACTGGATCTGTAGCATTTTCAAATATCTACAGAATACAAGCAAGGCAAGGATGATTTAAAAATAATCAGAGCTATCACATGATTACATAATTTTCATATGTTTAAAGTTACAAATTAATTGGACTGAAATACATACCACTAAAACTTCAGTATAAATGCTTTCTACCAAAGGAAATCCAATATATATCTTACAATGCAATGCATAGAACTGGAGCTGTTAGAAGGAAATGCTTTTTTTACTATTTTCTGTTTCTCTGTTGCAGTATCACATTAAAAGTGAAATAGCCTCAAAAATCAAAAGTGCGCTTTTGTCTAGCTGACCCACTGGTTAGGATTTGTTGTTGTCGTCATCATCATCATTTTCATTTCTATATAGTCACACTGAAATTTTCTGATCAATTACTGATCAGCTAAGGGTGCCAGCCTATGTATGTTTAAACAGGAACGAATCCTACAACTCCTGGCATTTGCCAGCCATGGTGAATGCTGGGAGTATAGGACCTTTTCTGTCTAAACATACATAGGATTGCACCCTAAAGCTGTTTACTACCAATCAAGTCAATAAGCAGTCAGAAAAGAAAAGAGGTCTAAAATCATCTAGTAAGCATGATACATTATAGATGGGAACTAATACCACTGACCAAGATCAAGCCATGATAGGAGTTTGGGTGAAATTTTCAATCCCACTGAACAAGGCTGATTGCAGGGTGGGGGTATTCAGAAAAAAGGGATGACTTGGGGGAGGGGTACGCAGGGAAAATGTCCTTGCCCCCTCCCCTGTGCTTCTCTGGTGCCTCTCCAGCAGCAGGAATAAGCAGCAACTAAACAGAAAAATATCAAGTGAAGCAGCCATCACTGTCACCATCTTAATTTCCCCAGAATACCTCCCAGAGGTATTCTAGCAGAATTAAGATAAGTGGGGGGGGGAGTTACAACCACTTTATCTGATTCTTCTCCTCAGAGCTATATATGCTTAAAATATTAAAAAGAAAAAGAGGTCAGCATCAACAGCACTCAGCCCCCTAGAAGCAAGCTCCAAACATTTTTGTGCATTCCAAGCATGCTTTAAGAAGTGTCCCATAGTTCATAACGTTCATATATTGTAAAACAAATCTTTCACAAATTGGACTCAGGATCTGAAATCGGGCTCTCTCAAAGCAAATGGCTAAGGTGACCATTCTATGCATGTTTAGACAGAAAGAATTGCCATAACTCCCAGAATTTCTAGAACAGCCATGCTAGCTAGTGGGGCTGGAAACTGTAGGACTCATTTCTGTTCAAACATGCATACGATTGCACCCTTAATCTCCTTTTCAGGCTTTTAGAGCACTGGTGAGAGAGGACCACTGTGGTAGGAGTTCTTAATTTTTCTGCATCTATTTGGGAAATTGAGAAACTGCTGTGGGTACCAACTCAAAAGGCCTGATGAGTGGCTTGCCACTTTGGTGTTTATCTGTCTTGTCTGTGGAGCTGAAGCTGCATCTTATTCTACAAAAATATTTGATTCATGTGTATTGAACATTGCAACACTTATTTAATAAAGGGTTGTCTAATTCAGTTAATTGCTAGCAGTGAAATACAGCAAATTCTTCTTTTAAACATACTTTTTGCAATATCTGGTAGCTGTTTCTTTTTGGGAAGAAGTTACTATACAGATAAATCTTCTACTGAAACAATCTTTAATATTCATTGTAATGCACACTTGTAAATTATTTACATATTTCCTGAAATAAACAAACTGTCACTGTAAATGGATTCTCCCTATCCTTTAAACGTCTGAAAGACTGATATTACAGCACTGGAAGATTAAACACTCACCTCTTATAATATAATGGATTGAGAGCCTTACAGTGTATTCAGTATTCAAACAGATGAAACAGAGGGCTGGGCTAGTTGACTTCCCAAGTCCCTGCAAACATTATATTTCTCAGACGCTATAAGGCTGCAGCCTTCATGTTCTGTTCTTGGGCATCCCAGAAACACCTGCCAGACCTTTGTTCTAAGCCTGTAAAACAGTGCCTATGTTTAAGAAAAACCAAGGTAAAGACTTTTCTAAAATCCTGGTTACCTTTTCAAACCACATTCGCTCACGAAACAAGAGAGGAAAGATGGGAGGGAGACAGTCTGTCTCCTTGCACTGACCCAGAATGCAAACATGGAGATACACATCATTCTTCTCTGTTAAATACACACCAGGACAAGAGACCTTTGATGAGAAGGAAAGAACAAGACAGAAAATCACAGTAGTTAGAACTAAGGCGGCAGCCAAGTCTGCAACATGAGACCAATGGGTTACAACTTCTACGTATTGCAAAATTATTAGTACATGAAGTGTGGTGCATAGGCTAGTATGAATTGCTAGGGGCCAGACATCCCATGAATGGCTGCAGTTCTGAGGTTGTATAAATGTTACTTCATGAGGTCGTACATCATTCCTCTTTTTCTTCATGGTTCAGAAAAGTTGTTTGTAGTTCATGCTATCTGCCACCCTGGAAACCATTACTAGAGATCTAATCTGCTCACGGCACCAGGGCAAGTAACTAACATTGATCTTCTGTGCTGAAATGTTTTCACTTTGCTGCTGACTTTGTCTTGGTTTTATTACAGGCTGACGTTATTTGTGGTTTTCTTTTTTGTATTTAGGTTTTTAATGAAGTGTATATTAACTAGAGAACTTGGGTTACTGGGTGGTTTTAAAGTATAATAAATAGTATCTCTAATTAAAGGGGTAGGTTGACATTTGTGTTAAATGCATTTTTGGATTCTTCACACAGCAATAATAAAAACGAGATTGCTTTTCAGTGTATGCAGAATATGCCAACAATCACTTCCCTCTGCTCTGTGATGCAGTTACAGCTGGACCTTTGGCCCTGAGGACAGAGCATCACAACTTAAGGTCTCTACAAGGGACCACAGCAGGTTCCAGCAAACTTCACTTTATTCCTGTATCACAGTGGTGCTAATTTACATTTAAAATGAAGAACTGCACTTGTCCAGTTTGTGTGTGTGTGTGTACCTAGGTTGGTAATGGGTTTGGTTGTTACGGAAGCAGCCTGCAGGCATAAGATGGTGATGGGGAGGAAGAGAAAAGTTGGTTGTGGACTTCACAATCGCTGTACTCCAACAGGGCCATCTAAAGAGCTCCCTCGCAAGACCCTGAAGTCCGAGGTCCCAACCTGCACGTCTGCCACCATTGCTTTCCCGCTCTGAACTGGATGACTAATTGCACCCAAGAAGGCAGGCAGGCAGCACTCAGTAGAAACACACACACACACGGCTGAAAACACGACACTCAGACCTCGGGCAACCTTTAGGGGCTTCTCCCCTGCTGGCCTCCTACAGCCCCCCAAAGCCCCCCTCACCGCATGGATCTGCAGCTCCACCACGACCTTCAGCGGCATCCCCGCCCTCGCTCTGGCCCGTGGGGCTCGGCGCGCTTGCCACGGCTCTCCCGCTCGGCCGCCACACCTGTCTGTGGGGGCGGGGGAGCGAGGGAGCAAGCGTCGTGTCGCCATGGGGACACCAACGTTCCAACCCGTAGGAGACGGAGAGGCGGGGCGTTCCCGGGACGCGCGCGCAGGCCCGCCGCCAAGCGCGCCTTTCCGCTCCTTTGGCCGGCCGTTGGAACGAGCGGGATTTCTCGCAAGTGAGAGTTGCTGAAGTCAGAGTCGGACGAGCCAGGTGGTCCATCGTCCTGGATCTTCCAAGCGACTTCCTGACAGGGCTTGCGCCGCCTTTCACAGCTGCCCGACGAGCAGCCGTTCTGCCCGGAGAACGGCTCCTTCGGCATGCCGGGCACAGGTGGAAGAGCGTCACCTGTAGAAGTTCTGCTCGCCAAGCAGCTGCGAAGAGCATCGCAGTTTACCCGAGCGGGGGTATTTTGTTCAGCGTCCCAAGACAGTGTTGCCCGCTCGCTGTGTTTATTGGGAAGCGAACTGGGTTTCTTCCCCCGCAAAAATCAACAACCATGAATCGTATAACATCTTAAGGCAGCCTTGCCTAACCGGGCGCCTACCGGATGTGTTGGACCACGACTCCCCGTACTCCCCGCAGCTGGCTGGGGTTGCTGGGATCTGTAATCCAACACATCTTGAGGGCGCCTAAAGTTGGGAAAGATTGCCAGATAAACTTATAGCACAATCCTATAACATAGTTAGGACGGGAGTGGGGAGACCTTCATTCTGGCCAGGGCATGCTGGGAGTCGTTGGCTTCCCCCACCACTGCCGCCCCGTCTAAAGATGCACAGGATTGCGCCTTAACATACTTATTGCGTGGCTTAAGCTTTCGTGAACTAACTGCTAAAATACAGTGACACCCCCCTGCAATGTTTTTATTTATTTTTATTTATTTAAAACATTTCTATGCCGCCCCCATCGCAACAAAGCTTCGGGGCGGCTCACAAAAAGTACAGAAAAAAAACATAATAACAATATAACAATTTAAAAGAAAAAAATTTTTTAAACCCCCGGTGCATTCTCGGCTAATTTTAAAATCCTAATAAATACAATAATTTAGCAATTAAAATAAGTTTTAAATAAAAAGGTCTTAGCCTGGCACCGAAAAGCAAATGATGACGGCGCCAGGCGGACCTCTCTGGGGAGCGCATTCCATAGATGGGGCGCCACCGCAGAGAAGGCCCTCCTCCGGGTACTCACCCTCCTAATATCATTCACGGAGGGTTCCCGGAGAAAGGCATCCGTTGCTGATCAAAAGGGGCGGGAGGGCATATACGGGCGCAAGCGTTCCTGGTGTAAACGCCATTTACCTTGATGGGATTTACTTATGAGTAACAGGCATTGGGTTGCTGTGTGTAAATGTCCCGGTCTTTCCGGTCTCTCCTTGTTCTCTCACCACAACAAACTAACACAGCAACTGCGCCAGATTACGTTCAAATCCCGACAAGCAAGCCCTACGGGACTGAGCGATTCAGGCAAGCCGCGAAGATGCCCTTCCCCGCCCCGAGGAAACAGATTAACAAAGCCAGCCACCTCCGTCTCCTAGCAACCACCACGGCTGCTTGGCTCCCCTCACGTGACACACTCAGGAAAAAGGAGGCGGTGCCTGATGAACTCATAAGTCCTGGACGCGCTATTGTTGCCGGAAGTGGCTTGTGACTTAGTTTCCGGGGGGACTCGTAACGTTCTCGGGTGGCCGCGCAAGTCAGAGGAAGGCTATCCGACCCAGGGTTTCCTAAGCGGGAAGGGGATGGCGTGGCCGCCGCGCTCCTGTGATTTGCGCCCGGGACGGGAAGAAGAGCCGCCTCAGCGGAACGCGCAGGTACCGCCGACCCCCGCGGCGCGGCGCTCCTTTTGCAGCGGGCGTGATCGCCTGTCCCTGCCCCTTCACTGCCGTCCCCTCTCTAATAGCGGAGCTGAAGGTCCGGTTTCTGCGGCGAATTGTAACGAGCCGCCCGGCCCGTTCCTTTTGCCCCGGGCGCGGTCCGGGACTTGTGGGAGCGCGGAGCACAGCTTCGCCTCGCAGTCGACGTATTGAGCCCTCGCCTCATGTTCCCTGTGCCTTCTCCCTTGGGCGATCTTGGGCCTTCTAGAACTGACCTGCCTTCATTTGGTGATTGAAAGAATTGCATGTTATCCCGGTGTTGGGTGAGGCTTGATATTTCACCAGAGGCTCTCCTTTTGACTGTTTTGTGCGAGTATAAAATAAAAATATTGCAGAATATGAAGTGTTGCACAGCATGTGTATCTCTTTCCAATCCATGCAGCAGATCTGCTGAGACGGGGTGGTGTCTCGTGGATCCATGCTACTAAACCATATATGGTCCAATCTTGTCAGATCTGCATAGGATTGTTCCACTCGCTGCTGCTGATGAGAGACCAATACCAAACAACAGTCATGCAGCCTGTCACTGTACATATTTACTCGGGAATAAGCCCTGCAGGGCTCAGTCAGATACACTCCCAAAGCACAGGATTGCAACTTTAGGCTGCCTACCTGTACATATATACAGGGAGTCTTAGCAGGTTTACTTCTCATTAAACTTGTCCAGGATTGTAGATTTAGCTGCATAAGGCAGGTAGGATCAGTCTATATAGCATAATTATCCTTGATTTTTAATTTTTATTTAATACATTTAAGATGCAATCTTATGCACATTTGAATGGAAGAAAGTTCTACAAATCCAGTATTCCCTAGTTCTTGTGACTGGCTGAGAAATGTTGGGAGTTGGACAGCTTTTTTTTGTCCAAGCATGCATGAGATTGAACCGTATGTGTCTACTCACAAACCATGCATGTGCGAGGAGAAAGTTGAGATTTTAAAGGTGCAATCCCATACACAGGTTCAAAAAAAATTCTGCAGCTCCTAGTATCCCCCAGCCAGCATTGTACTTGATAAGGGTGTCTCATTGACAGCGGTGGGAGGGACAGATCTGGAGATTGCCCTAAGCATTTAATGCAATTTTAAAGATTGCATCTTAAATCTATTAAGGATTATGATTGTGAAGCCAAAAAGTGATATCTGTTTCAGATTAATGTGTTTGTGATACCTTTCCCTGAATGAGGATAGCCGAACACTATGTGGTATGGGTTTACCTGACCAATTATACCTTGTCAAAACGCTTAACATGCAGATTTATAATGATGGGATTGAACTGGCTTGTCAACAACAAAAGGAATTTGTGAAGAGTTCTGTGGAATGCAAATGGAATTTAGCAGAAGCCCAGCAGAAACTTGGTAATTTAGCATTACACAACTCTGAGTCCCTGGACCAGGAACATGCTAAAGCACAGACTGAAGTTGCCGAGCTGAGATGGAGGGAAGAAGAGTGGCGGCGGAAGGAGGAGGTGTTACGGCAAAAAGAGAGACAGAATATGTGGAACGCAGATTTTGTTAGCAAGGAGGTATTCAATAAGGTATGGAAGACTCCAGATTGCATTAACCAAAAACTACCACAAAAAGGCATAAATGCTGCAGAATGATTTTAGAGCACTTATGTAGCACTTATTGCTACCGTTCGCTATTATGTTCTTTGCCTATATTTCTGTCAGTAATAAGAATGAGCTTAAACTCTTTAACTTTTCATAAGATTGAGGTGCTATTTTTACATGTTTCCCAGAAATAATCTTTAGAATGCTACTATGCATGTTCAGATTTCAAGCAGTAAATTCAGGAGCAGGTAGAATAAGTATGGTCCACAGAATGCTTGGATTTAACTTGATTTGTTTCCATTTGCTTTAGTAGGCTGAAGTGGTTAAATCTAGGTTTGCTTTCACATTCATACTACTGCTGCTACTTGGATTTATCACAATATTCTAGAAGTTAAATTAAAATGGTTCCACATTTTATTTAGGTTGAGACATAGACTGGGACATTTATTTATGGGACATAAGATGTGTGGGGTCTCACCCTCCAACAGTGCTGACCTCCCTCAGCAGAGGAGATCCAGCCTCAAAAGCCCTTCCATGGCTAATGCTTCTCCAGGACTGGGACTCTACCGTCAGTGGTGAGGAGAGAAAGCATGCCAAGTGTGTGTCAGGAGGGGCGGTAGATGTGTGTGATTCAGAGCCTTCTCAGCTCCTGCCTCCAAACTGGAACAGATCTATGTCAGCTTGAGAGGGGGCATTGGTTCCTATTGAAACCAATGGGCGGCACTTCTTTTTTCAAAAAGCTGGCCAGAAACCAGACAATCACAAAAAATTTTTTTTTAAAAATAGTAATTACTCTTTATCAAATATTCGTCAGAACCTCATCTGCTAGTTTCAAGAACTCTTCCAATATGTATTGCATTCTTAAGACAAAAATCAGCACAAACTGGGCCTAAAAATAGATGGAAAGTTAATATTGAAGAGTGTAATCCAGTCACTTAACAAAAAAGGCCAGTTCCTTCTCAAATCTCAACAAATAAAAGATTCAGTTCCGGACTATAAACAGTTAATTAGAAGTAACCTTAACATTTTAATGAACTGAAATGTTACATCAGAGATGGGGAGCATGCAGCCTGCAAGATGTTGCTGGGCTATAACTTCCATCTACCCTACCCAGCTTAGTCTGAGCTGAGGCATGATGGAAGTTGCATTCCAATAGTATCTGGATATGTCCCCTAACCCTGTGCTAGTTCCATGTATTTTAACCTTATATGTATGAAGTACAATATGTAGAGAAACTGAACTAAGAACACTTAGCAAAGGGAATGGTCTATTTTCTTTCACTTTCCCATGCCAGGCAATAGTTTCTTCTGGAAGTAAGTTATTTGAGACACTGCTCATCAGCTGCTGAAGCGTCCTCTGAAGTTTTCTTTGCTCTACAACAGATAATCTCAACATTTTGCACTAATAGGTGACTCCTGAGCAATGACAGCTTTCCAAAGTAGTAACTTCTTAATAAAATGTTATGCTGTGGTGGATAATTAATCAACATTGACATTCTATTTATCAGAGCTTTATTAATCAAAAGAAAAGGAAAGAACTGGAAGAGGATGTATCTCAATCTTTCATGCAAAAGCATGAACAGAAAATCAGGCATTTTGGTAAGTGCAGCTTCTTATTTCTCTGAACCTTCATATATCATCTGTAGCAATAGTATGTCAGTTCTGTAAATTCCAATTTTAGCAGGTGAAGCACTTGGACATTATTTAGGCGTCTTGACCTTCATTTTGTATGGTAACAGCATGGCCCTGTGTGACTGAACTCCATTTGGGAATCAGATCTTGACTAAACCCTTAGTAATTATTTTTGAGACATCAGAGGTTAGCCAGTGTGACTATTTCCCTGCTAACTGGGAGGGAAAGGTTAGCTGGATCTCCACTTTTCACCCCTAAGGTCACAGTGCTGTCTCCAATCCTGGGGGCTCAGATGCTGTCTAAGAGCCATAGGATCACTCCTTTCCATATTCATTCACTATGGTGGTTTCATACACAATATTGGATTCAGTTGTTTTGAAGTATTTTTTCTGTTTACACAAGGGCTCTTTTGATCTCATCTCATTGTTTTTCCAGGTATGTTGAACAGATGGTTTGACAGTCAGAAATATCTTTCTGACCACCCATACCTTGTCTGTGAAGAAACAGCTCAATATCTCCTCTTATGGTGTTTCCATCTAGAAGCAGAACAGGTATCTTTTAAATATTCTTCTACATTGAAATGGAGGTGCCCCCCCCAATTCCACTTCAAGTTGTTTATAGTCTCTCCAATTTGTCCATATAGGTATCTAGACTGTCTCTGTTTTTTTCCTTTCATCTGGCCTTAAACATCTTTACTTCTTCAGTGAAAAAACTTACAGTACCTAGGCAGTGCTGAAATCAGTGGAGGGTAATGTAAAGCTCAGATCTCTGTACACTTAGCACACAATTAGTATATGGAGAACACTGTGATTAGTTTATAAACCTAGATCTCAATCAGCTGTTATTTAAGAACTAAGTATAATATTTAAAGGTAGTGCTCACAGCTGGCTTTATTAATACCCTCTTGTAACCTGTGAAATTGCCCTTCAGCAGGCATCAGTCTAGAAAGTTTTTCACTCTGAGGCTGTACTGTAATACTTGTGGATCCTCCCCACTTCAGCCTGTCTTGGCTATACTTTACTGATTATTATTATTATTATTATTATTATTATTATTATTATTATTATTACATTTCTATGCCGCCCCTTGCCGAAACCTCGGGGCGGCTTACAACATGATAAAATACATTGAAATACAATAGTACATAATAAATTACCATTAAATATAAAAATACAAAAAAATACATTGATTTACAAATATAAAATTAAAATTATCAGTATAAAATAAAAATATAGGAGGAGAAAGAGAAGGAAGAAGTTGCCCTGGCCAGATCATATGTTTTAACAATTGAAATGATGTTTAAATAAAAAGGTCTTTACCTGGCGCCGAAAAACCAGTAACGACGGTGCCAGGCAGACCTCTTTGGGGAGTGAATTCCATAGGTTGGGCGCCACCGCAGAGAAAGCCCTCCTCCGGGTACTTACTCTCCTAATTTCTTTCATGGGTGAACATACATTAGGGAGTTTTTATACAGTTTTTTTCTCCGTCTCCCAGATTAAGATGCCTCTTTTAAGCTTTAGTAGTTGGCAGTATGAGCTTTAAGCTACAATTTGCTGGGAGTGGCATGCATTTTTTTGCTCATGTCCTTTCACCTTCAGCCCCTTGAGAGTGTATGCGAAATCAAGTCTGATTTTCAGGCTGAAAAAGGTTTCCCAACCTGGCTGCAGCAGAATTTCTTGTGTATCTACTGTGAGCTCCTGTTGATGGCTTCAAATACCATTTTAACTATATTTGTGAAGCTCACAATTGCGAAGAGATTAATGTGTAAAGGAACCGTGCATTCCTCCCCATGCTCCCTTCAAGTGATCCTTTCTCTGAATGAGCTTCTGATTCACAAAATGATTTTGTGTGCCAGGCAGGGCAAGACTCAGTTTGATTACGTGAAATGATAACCTAGGCCTAATAACAGTGAGCCTTGTTAACACTGCTCCCTGGAGGAAATATGCTGTTACTTCCTTACTGACTGTAATGATGTGTATTTTCAGAAAGGTGCTCTAATGGAACAAGTAGCTCACCAAGCAGTAGTGATGCAATTTATCATAGAAATGGCCAAAAGCTGTAACGTGGATCCACGAGGATGTTTCCGTCTATTTTTCCAAAGAGCTAAAGTAAGTTGGGTTTTCTGTTCAATTTGTGGTGTGTGGATAGAGGAGCTTGGAGGATTCTATTTTAAGATCTAGCAGAAGATTCTCTTTGGCAGCTAGACACTAAAATTCCTTACCTTTCTTAGGTACAACCTCCCAACATTGTCTTGGGGCCCATGGGATTACTCGGAGCCCCAGCTCAGAGGTTCTGCAGCTTCAGAACTGGGAACCCAAAGGCTGAGCCCCAGATAGAGCTGAGCCAGCTTCCTCTCCCAGAATGCAACTGGGCCTCAGAGAGGAGGAAAAGGGGTGTGCCAGCTGCAAGGAGGGGAGGAGGCCAGGCCAGTGGCTTATTGCATCAAGGCCCCAGCCTGCCTCTTCCCCTCCCTGCGGGCTAAAAAGGGCCATCTAGATGAAGTGCATGGCACAAGGTGCTGCTGCACCTGGCCCCGTGCATCGGCTGCCAAGAAGCCTCTGAATTCAGAGATTTCCGTGCATTTGTAGAGGACATTGGCTAGAGCCCTGACAATGGGAAATGTCTGAGAGTTAGGCTTTTCCTGATTCCTGTTTTTAAATAATGCTTTTATAGCATTTCATAACTAAGGGCGGTGATACTCATCAAGTACTTTTGTTGTAAAGATACTGATTAATTAAAACTTCGGAAGCTAACGTAAATAATGAATAATTATACATTCTACCAGAACATTGCAACCTTGTGGAAGGTGATTGAAAACGAATTGAATCTGTCCTGAATTGTGCAGTCCTGAACACATTTCCTTGGAAGAGAACGCTGTTTCTTTTAAAATGTATTCAAGTAGGTTTAGGATTGCAGCTTAAAACTGCAATTTTTCTCCAATTTTTCCCCCTATTTTAATAAAATATGGCTATTTTGGGATTAAAATTTGTTTCAGAAACTAAGAAATAAACTTAAGCATATAGCTATGTAAGGTCAGCAGATGGTGAGGTACTGAAAACTGCAAAGTGTCAATACTGTACTTTTTGCACCAAGTCCTTTACCTAGGAACTTTCTAGTTTTTGTGTCTTGGGTAGAGAGTACCTAAAAATATCCAAAGTTTACCTTCACCATGAGGTCTGGAAACTTGCTTCTTCACTGCTGTTCTTTGCCCTGCTCCCAAAAATCGCAGATCCAAATTCTGTGGGACAGCAGCTTGCTAGATGGATTTGGATAACATAAGGGTAAGCTGTTTTTAACAAAAACAAAAACTCCTTGCACTATAGAATGTAATTATAGTCCCATGGTGTTCCCTAGTTTTCATTAATATAAAACTATCAAATTTTGAACCTAAGAATCACCAGTAAAACATCAGCTCTTGTGAACCGCAGTGCTAGGAGGAGGAGCATTGGGTAAGCAAACTGATGAAGCCAGATGCCTCTTAAGTAGTCCATTTGCCCAAAGGAGCCCTCTTAGCACCTTTCCTATCACGTTCCACCCTTCTTAAATGTTGGGTGAGCCAATACTGCTTCCCTTTGAATTTCCACGGACTCCCTAAATAGCCTGTCATCTCTAATGCTCTTGGAGTGTTTTATTGTCTTTGCCATCTCTTCCATGCCTCGGTCACTTTGCTTTGGTTGCAGCACAAATGCTGTTGGATGACGCCGTGGGGCTGCACACCATGTCCAGCCCTGAAAGCACCTCAGCATCTGCAGCCACATCCCCTGCCTCTTGCACAGATGCAACAAGGCACCCCCTGCCTCACCTCTTCCCTTCTTGCTCACGCACATGTGTATTCCCTCCCTCTCACACACCCTCACTATGTATTTGTATCATCAACCCTTCATTGAAATATATATATACTTGCACCACTTCTGTCACCAGGGTGCAGAGGGGGCCATTTTGCCTGTGGAGGATGCATGGTCGAGGGGAACTCGCCGGAGGAAAATATGTGGGGAACATGGGTTGCATCTAATGGAGCCTGTCTCCCAGCAGAATAAACACTGCAGGTGAAACAGCTTTTCCCTCTTCCCTACAGCTCCTTCTCTATTCCCAGATCTGCTTCAGAGGGTTGGGACCCTCCAGAGAAGTTTGTAATGGGAACAGGGCAGAAAGGAATGCCTATTGCATAAGCAGATGTCCTCTTGTTTGGACACTGGAAACAGCCCATGGTAGAAAGTTAACATAGCTTTGTGGACCTTTGACCTCTTCCTACTCCACTTCTAAAGGCCTCAGAAAGTTGAAGTTGAAATGTTTAAGTATGGAATAGTGGCATTTTACTAGTTTGTTTAGAGTTGGGATTGATGTTTGCTGTGATTGTAGCTCTGGATAATGTCATTCTGTGTTTAAAGTATTCTACATTGTATCACTCTAAACATACTTCCGCGGTTCACATTGGGGTTGAGTGCAGCAAGAGAAAGTGGTATCTAAAAATATTCATCTGTTACTGGCCCTTCATATGCATGGTTGTGAAAAGAATCTAGCTGAGTATCACATAGTATGTCGTGCTATCATACAAACTTGCAAGGAGTCTTCCCTGCTTTAAAGTGAGATGCTGCAAATCTGTATAATATGTGGCATCTAGCCTTCTTTGAATGCACGAATAACCCGTTAAAGGGAAGAGTTCAAAAGCAAATAGTGAGGGGGTGTTTGATCAACCTCGTCCTTTTTAGCCAGTGTTACCGCTCCAAGAGTAACAAGAGTGCTTCTGCAAGTTATTCTTATAACAGTGTTATTTCTGTAGGGAAATTTTATATATGACTTCCAGACCAGTGTGCCTTAAAACAGAGGGAAAAGCAGGGACATTCCTTTGCTGAAATGTTTCTCTATTGGCTGCATGACACTTTTCCCTAACCTTGTGTTTCTTAGCAGTGTTGGGCTACACTGAGCAATGGGCATTGTAGTACTGCACATCTGGGCATACAAGATTGCAGAAGTTTGGAGTATGGTAGCAATAGCCAACAGCAGTTCTGTGTGTATGTAGAGATTCTGTAAGGGTACAAAATTTAGCATTATGAGAATCCTGGGGGTCAAGTTTTTTAAAGCTAGTTTTAATATTTGTGGATGCAAGGGGAGCCTGGGCAAAAGCCTGCATAAATTTCAAAAGCTACAAGCGAGAATTCATGAAATGTCCTTTGACTGGACTTGGAGTGTTCTGCATGATTACTTGTTCCTACCATGACTAGCAGGCTAGAATAAATTAACGCAAATCATAAAAAAACGGGAACAAAACATTCTGAGTAAGAGAAGTTATGATCCTCTGTGCATCTATGCATGAAATACCAGAAGGCCTTCTTGATACAGAGTATGGTTTGCCTGGCTGTAGAATCTTTCCTATTTTAGCACAAGATAGACATGGTGAAACTGGAGAGCTGATTCATTGCTTGTTCATTGCTTTGACAGACAGGGGAAGAAGGCTATTTAGAGGCCTTTAAAAATGAACTTGAAGCATTCAAATCAAGAGTGAGAATTTGTTCGCAATCACAGAACTTCCAAGCTATGCCTGCTCAGAATCCCTTGTCTCACACTGAGCTGAATTGTATAGCGGGGCTTGCATCTTTTCCACAGGTGGGTCTTAAAAATTGTTTTACAGAGAATGGGTAGAGTGATCTAAGGGAGGTTCTGCCAATCCATATGCTTGAGTCTCCTCCTAGAGAAGTGCTTTTCTTCCCTTCCTGCCTCCCTTAGAATCGTGTCAGCTTGGTGCAATATTGTTTATCCTGTGAGGAAAAGTATATACTTATACAATGCTGGCATTTAACTATATGAATGGTAAGTAATTTCATACCAAGGTGGTTTCTGCTGTCCAAGGCTGCAACTAATACCAGGCATATTAAACAATCCATTTAATTTGTTTATTCGAGCACTTCCTATTAGCATATTTTGCCTCCTCCTGTACTATTGTAAAATTACTGCCCAATTTAGGCATAAGTTCTAATTGATGTGAAAGGTATTATGAATCCAAAAATAAGCAGAATTACATTTTTTGTACATATCAAGTTTTTATTGATACCTTGAAATAAAATGCAGGTTATAATCTCAGGATACCAGGTTCTGCCTATCTATTATGAGGACAGTAGGTTTGCTGATTTTACCTGGCTGTCACTTGAACCATTCTTGTGGCTATGTTTTTACCCAGATAGGTTTCCATCCTGCATCAAACCGCCCCCCCAGAAAATTTTGCTTTCGCAAGCCCTCATTGTGAGGGAATAGCTTCATACTGGTGGCGTCCTTGTCTTTGCCAGCAAGCAGGATTAGCCTACATCTTTGCAAAGAGTAGTTGTGCTAATAGGGTAGTTTTGCTTTGTGTTTAACCATTCAGTTGACTTAGGCAGTCAGAAATGCCGTGCAAACAAGTGGGCCAGTGGAGGAGAGGCAGAGAGCTCTTTCCCTCTTTTGCACTTAGTATAGAAACCAGGTTGCCTACTGAGGAAGGAAACCCCCTTCCTTCACACCCAGCATAGCAATGCATCTCTCCAGGTCTGTGGTAGTGCCCTCTTGGAGGTACCTGCTAGAGTTACACAAGTGAATCACAGAATAACAGATGGCAAATTTATTTATTTATTTATTTAGGAACTTTATACGCTGTCCATTACTGTCGTCTCTGGATGGCTTATAATATAATCCTAAACAAAATAAATTGGCTTTATTTTGAATGACCTTGGTGATGGCCCTACTCAACAGGAGAGTTCTTGTTCAATATATCTAATCAGTTTGTATGGTACTGCTGCATCTGGTGAGCCAGATGAAGGCGCTCCGAAAGAGCACCATTGCAGTGCCGCGCCTCCAACACACAGTTAGCTACCAGGGCACACATGAGCAGTGCCACTTATTGCAAGGGATAGCAAAACAAATTTTCAGTTTCCATATCTCTGTTGAGAAATGTTCTATAATAGCGGAATAAACCTCAGTTAGTCCCTGCTGAATTGTTTCACATCTGTCAACTCAAATTTCCTTCCTTCAGTTGCATTGGAGCCCAAGAGAAAATGCCTTTCTTGACTTGAGCATTTCTAGATTATAAATTCCCACTAGCTAGCATACACACTCATTACGTGCGTATATACTCTTGGGGTGCATAAACTTGATACAATGCAATGCAAGCCATTTCTTCAGATCAGATATTTGCCTGGAATTGACTTTCTATTTATGCTCTATTTTGTTGCAGAATTCAGATTCACTTCAGGGCTGCAGTTTGAACTCAGTGGTACACAAAGATGAGGATGAACCTAAAATGATGGATACAGTATAGTAGTCCTAAGACTGAGCCCAAGTACTCTTATTACAAAGAGAAGAACGTGGCAACTTCTTTGAGACTTATTTTTATGGGTGCTGCACTTTATTTTTGAGTGTTTTTGGGAGAGAGGGTAATCCAGAAACACACTTCTTTTTGTCTAGAAAATGTGCTGCTATGGGTTTTTTGTTTGTTTTTTTAGGAGAAGGGAGTTCTTATATGTCGCTGAATGTGAAACTGGATGTTTTTCTGCTACTACTAATCCTTGCCTTTTAAATTTTAGGAATCAAAGTATGAAAAAGATTCTACAGAGTTGCGATGTTTACAATTGATTAATTCTTGGAGGGATCTGCTTTAATGTTAATAGGTATGCCCATGTCTCGCCATGGATTCTGAAAAGCATCCTAACGCGTTCTATTGCTTGCATAGTAGGCGCTTGAACCTGATTTTATCATGAACAGCAATAAATCAGTGATTGCTATCAACATTGTATATCTCGGTGGCACAGATAAAAGCACTGGCCTTTTTACTACAGGGATGAACATTTTATTTTCTGCTTTTGGGTGACAGTCTTTTATATATTGTTTCAACCCTTGTCTACCTTGATGTGTAATTCGCCACAACTGCCTAGAATAGAATTGTAAACAGTATTTTCTAGAGGCACACTCACAGAAAAGCTAGCTTTCCATCTGACAAACATCAGTCACTGGTGAGTGTTTGTGGGAAAGAGAAATCGCTATCACTTGGTTTTGTACCTAAAAATGTTATTTTATGGTAATGACTTTGAGGTGAGCATTTAAGGAAACCTAGGTGCCAAACGCCAACTGAATCTTTGTTTTTAATTAAATCTTGTCAGTGTGAGAGGCGTAAAGTATTCTGTTTGGTAGATTGTTGAGTGCCACATAGCAAATAATCAATTTACCATTCTGAAACCAAAATTATTCAAATAGCCAAGAAATTACATTTATTTTGGTCTTGGTTCCAGTAAGTTATCAGTATAAAATAAGGTGTCATCTTCTTGTTCTTGCTTTTGTGACACCAGAAGTATAGAAAACAGTAATCTCCTAGCAGCTGCTGTGCCTCAACTTGCACTGCTTCCACTTAAATCACCACTGATGCAGGCCTGCGCTATAAACATGGAGTGTTGTTACCATTGTCTGCTAGTGCACAGCCAGATTCTTAAAATATGTCTCAAGCTCTGAAGCATCTTGGGTTCTTCCCAGAATCAAGAATAATAGTTCTCTGTCTAGTTCTGTCCCCTTGTTGCACACAATCATCAGAACAAAGCATATAAGGCTTTGCTAAGTTCCTAAGAAACAATATGTATGCACAGGGTAGAATCGTATAGAAACAGAGCGAGTCAGAAGGGGCCTCCTGGGCCATCGAGTCTGACCTCCGGCACCACTCATGACATGCTCACCATATGCACGTCCAGCCTGTCCTTGAACACCCTCGCTGATGGGGCCTCAACGACCTCTCGTGGAAGCCCATTCCACACCCTCGGGGTCCTGACTGTCAGGAAGTGCTTCCTGGCATCCAAACGAAACCTTGGCTCCCTGAGCTTTGCTCCGTTGGAGTGCGTTTTGCCTTCATCTGCAGGGGAGAACAGGTCTCTACCCATCTCCATGTGACATCCCCTGACATACCTGTATGTCGCCAACAGATCCCCTCTGAGTCTCCTCTTCTCCAGGCTGAAGAGACCCAGTTCCCTCAGTCTCACCTCATACGGCATCCCCTGCAAACCAGTCACCAACCTTGTGGCCCTATGCTGCACTGACTTTAACCTGGCTATATCCTTCCTGTAATGAGGGGCCCAAAACAGCACAATACTCCAGTTGCGGGTGCACCAGAGTGGTAGTAATACCTCTCTTGATCTAGAAGCCACACTTCTGGCTATGCAACCAAGGGTGGCATTCACCCTCTTGAACACCACATCACACTGCTGACTCATGTTTAGCCTGCAGTCAACCAGCACCCCGAGGTCCCTTTCACAAGTGCTGCTCTCCAGCCACTTGTCACCTAACCTATGTGACAGCTATTCCTATATGCTCAGTTATAGCATTATTGTCTTCCCACAGCTGAAGAAATGATTCAAGCAAAGTTCACAGTTCTAACAAAATTGTTCATATTCTAGAAGATCTTGATCTATGTGTAGAACATGATTTAGTCTGATTTTCTGGTTGTAAATCATTTTGCGAGGAATGGCCCAGCATTTACAATAGAAAGTGAGCACTTAGATTCATCAGCTTGTAAGGCCAGTATTCCTTTGTGGAAGCCTTGCAGGGTTGTTGACATTGTAAGGAAATCAAGACAGAAAATCAAGACTACCCATTCTACATTTTATATTGAAACAGTGGTACAGGCCTTGATGTTTAAATCAGAAGAGAAGATTCAGAAGTATAAATGAGTTTCTAGGAACTCCATAAAAACAGCACTGAATATTCACATGCGGAACTTCTATGTAAAGGATGGTATTTTGGATAATAGGTCCACTGAATAATTGTTCTGTATTTAAAAAAAAAAAACTTCTAAGCATTTATTTTGCCAAATTTTATGTCCCAGAGATCATGGAGCGTTCTGGGCATGTGCAGAAAACCTTAGTACTAGAATCTGGTCATCTGTTGTCAATGGAGTATAGAGCTGGGTCTTATTGATTTCCCTGAGTCTACTCTAAGAATGTTTAGGTCTGGATCCAACCCATAGATCATTGCAGAAGAGAAAATTTGATAGGTCTTAGTAATCAGTTGTCTAGCTATATTGGCAATTACAGTTTAGTCAAGTTTACATAGCTTTGTAGGTAAAGTTGGATGATGATTTGTCATTGGCTGGGGAAATAAGATTGGCAGTTAGAGAATAGCATAAGAAGGTAGGCATGCCAAGTTAGAGAACATGTTAAGGGGCCTTAAGAGCTGTCTTGAAACACAACTTCTTGCTATTTCATATAAATATGAGTTCAACAACGTTTTTAAATAAGAGCTACCATTGTAACAAACCTGGAAGTTGTGGCCTGTCTTAAGAGGCTGCCTTTTATGTTCTTTAACAGTGTAGTGTGTGTCTCTTATTGCTAGGCTCACTTCCCAGATTTCTGAGGTTGAAAAAAAGGTCTCGGTGTGCAATGCTTTACTCCCTGAGTAAAAAGCATTACAGAATCCTTCAGATTACTCTGCCTTATCAAGAATATAGTATACTACAATCAGAAAACTAGCAAACAGGTGCCTAGAGAGGAAGAAGCTCCAAATGATTCAAACAGTCTATAAAAACCTTTGCTAGCCACATTTAGCAAAATTACTCTGAAAAGACATTCTTTCAATAATTTGAATATAACAATTGAGGCCTGTGAAGCAGAATGGATCCTTTCTTTCCAAAGCAAAATGTTGGGGTGCAGTGTCATTCCTTCATGAATCCTCTTTATATGTGGCATTTTCTTTTGATCTACCAAAAGAAGAGGTTAAAAAAAGCTCTTAGATGGGAAAAACATATTTTGTATGTCAACATGTTAGATATTGAAGCGTGGAGTAAAAATAAGATCCATATATATTTCCTGTGAGGTTCTTTGCTCTCTAGCTCTTCTATTTGCATCATTTCCAAATCTGACATGTCTAATCAGAAAGAGAACCTTTGACGATTGGGTGGTATCAAAATAAATAATCTCAATTTTGACCTTGCTACATTAAATGGTATAGTGGGATTCCATTTTGTAATGTAAAATGAGAACGTTCAGTATAAAATATCCGATTTTGCCTGACATCTTCTCAGGCCAGGAAATTGAGGCTTTTTGCTTTGGTGTCATTTTGTGATAGGAAGACTGTTTGGGATGGCTATAAATGTGTAAGACTCACGCAACAAAATTGTTGTTGAAATCATCTGATTAGTTGTTTACTGTCTGTGCAATTGCATGGAACTTTCCATTTCCCGTGCATAATTGAAATGAATGCCAGTTTCTCAACCAGATGTTTCCATTCCAGAGTGTGCCTGCTGGGAAGCAAGTCATATCAAAAATCACTTCCAGTTCATTGTGAATAGATTCAGCTGTAGGTTTGTTAGATTTCTAAAGAAAATTCCATAAAAAAGATAGATGAAAGTTCATCTAAGGGTACAAATGCTGTGGGGAAGTTAGTGGCCAAATTCAAGGTTTTGATAGACTTTCTGATGAGAGTTGGCAGTAGGTTTAAAACAGGATTTCATTGTTAAAATAGAGAGATGTCCATATTTTTCAAAAATGTATTGTTCAGTAAAAGGCATAGGGGAAAACAGCAGACAGCTCCCATTGTGACATTAATGAGGCTCATAGTCTGGGCTTTAGCTACCGAAAATTGAGGAGGAGGTACATATTGGAGCAGCCGACATTATCTTACATGCTTTGATGCTCCATGGACTTTGTTCTTGGATAGGACATTCGTTAAGCTTCCAAGCATGACCACTACAGCACTTGATATGCTGCTGTAGTTGTTATTGATGGATTCATGCCACTCATGTTTTAATTCATTAATGTGTTAATTTAACATTTAGCAATCATAGAGGCCTTTCACTGTGTACATGCAGGTCCTAGCAGAGGGGAGGTTAGCTGCAAATAGTATAAATGGGTTGCATGAAACCACACCGTGTTTTGCTCAGTGTGGACTGATCAGATATCAGACGCTCTGAAACTCGCATGGCATTTGAAAATGATCAGAATGAGATCTGATACTGTGTGTGTCTGCAGCAGCCAGCAAGATTTGCAAGCCTCAGTTTCCTGGAATTTCTAATAGAAAATGTCATATAGGCTGGAATGATTGAAAGAGAACTGTTGGTTTACATTCTGAGCCAAAACTTGGATGTTAAATGAAATTAAGGAAGTTCCCACAGAGGTATGCTTTTGAGTTTTCCCTTAAGGCCATTTTACACATTAAGCTGAAGCAAATCTGGGTTCACTGTTGAGTACACCCACAGAGCCACAACAATCCTGAGCAGCATAGTTATATGATGTGTGACGCTTCATATTTTTAACTATGCCATTAAAACAAGTGTTGCGTGCGAAAGGCTTAGTCATGTATCAGCAGTGTTGTAACTTTCCTAATATTGCAAGATCAGTAGAAAGGATCAGAGCAAATCAGATGTGGCAGGGAAGCCCTATATTTTAGTCACATTATTACCTCATTCACATATAAAGTTGGGCAAGAAAAAATAATTTGATATGAAATAAGATGTGGGTTAAGAACACTGCCTGTACCTGTCTGTCCCCTTTTCCTTGTGCTCTTACATTAAGCAATGTTCCCCTCTACTTGGCAGAAAAAATGCTGGAAGGAAGAGAGTGTAGTTCCTAACACAAGGGAAGGAAGCTTCTTGTTTATTCCATTTTATGCAACAGTATAAACCATCTTCCTGTGCCATTTAGGCAAACAGAAGTAAGGTATGTGTGGCTGCCCACTTTGGCCTACTTTCTAACTTGTTACAGAGATATCTAGAGGCAAAAGAGGAACGAGAAAAATTTGTCAGACAATAATATAGGCATCTTCATGAAAACTGGATTGGAAAATGATAGAATTCTCTTTATGAGTAATTTTGCTATTGACAGTATAGCTGTAGGAAGCACGAAACTGCTGCAGGCTACAATTTGCATTATTTTCTTTGGCAACACTTACTTAATATGCTTTCAAGTTACTATTGAACTGTACTGTCGAACTTTTAAAATGCTGGATCACGAAGAGTGCAGTACGATTGCTGACTTTGACAACTTATCCTTGTATTCCTCCATTGCTCCCTTGATGTACATTGTGGAAGCTGCTCACAGTATGGCTTGCTTTCTTCCGTGCCAGCTGTGTGCTCTTTTCCAAGCTTTTGTTCCTGGGAAGTTTTCCGCAACTCTTCTCTAACTCACTGGTGGTTCCTCAGCTTTGTTTTGATATTCTGTGGGAGGGTTGCAGGATGGTTGAGAATACTGGGCTTTGACAGTGGAGATGGCATCCCTGTTAACCAGGGCATGTACCTCTGTGTGATGGAATTTTCGTCATTTGCCATACTCAGGTCTAAATATGGAAGCAGGATGAATGGTGGACTTGAACTCTGAGGCTGCAGCTGACGAAGACTGCATCTAACTACACAGAGCTTTGCTTGCAAAAACAAATAATCCATCCCACTAGAAAGGCAAGGCTGTGGTGATTAAAATGAGTTTTAAGTGTGTGATTTTTATTGGTTGGACAGAAAAACCTTTAAGTGGTCTAGAAATAGCCAGCAATGTTCAAATTGTTTTGGGAGGGGAAGAGTTTTGCGAATGCTCATCTAGCCTATCAAAAATGAAGCAAAACCTTTTGCTTTAAGAACCACCTACTTTTAACGCCTTAAAGGGGTAATGTGACAAACTTTGCTTACCAGTCTGAAATAACATTTATAAGACTGTCCCATCTGATTTTTTGGAAATGAAATATAACTAGCTGTTAATAAAATATAATTTTGCTTTAATATGTGTTTGTTTTTAATGACAGTCCCTGAGGATACCATATTTTTCCATGTATAAAACGCTACTTTTTCTTAAAAACGGAGGTGCATCTTATACCCGGGGCCAAGAGAACCGCGGGCGTGTTCAGGGGGGGTGGGAGACTGGCGCATGTGGGTGGGGGGGGCGGTGAGGCGGCACGCACAGCAGCAGCTTGCTGGCTGGAGATGGGTAGGAAAAGTGGGGGGTGTCCTACACATGGGGGCATCTTATAGGCAGAAAAATACGGGTATATCAAGAACTATGTCCTTTAAGACATAGCATGGTTGCTTGCCATAGGAGCATGTGGCTTCAACATCTTCATCAGACGGTTTTCCACAAAACTTGCAGTACTTGCAGCTGCATTGTCTAAGTGCGCATGGGAGGTGAGGCGAAATGGAAGGCAGGCCACGTGGCGCACACAGCTCTGCCCTCCAACATCTTGCCGCTCTCTCAAAGAAATGTTCCTGGGTGGTGGCACTGTACGGAGTAATGCTGACTGGAGCGGGTGTGAACTGAGCAGCTTCCCCTCTGCTCACTCGGGAGTCTCTTCCAGCAACAAGCATGCATCACTGCAGCCAATACAGGAGAATGGGAACATCTGGGGGCCTCTTGCTGCCCTACAACCACCACCTGAAGCAGCTGCCTCACTCTGCCTAGGCATTAGCAAGGGCTGGCCCTGTGACCACCCTCCGCTCCTGGGACTACAACAGATCTATGTAGCCCCAGGTTCTGATGCTTAGCTGTTTCCACAAAGGCAGCTGTTCTTGGGCTGCCACTGACAACCTTCTGCATCCGTGCCTGGTGCTACAACAACAGTAGGGTGAGACCATCAGGCTGTAGGATAAAAGCAGTGGAGGGTGCAGCAGTGAGAATGACAGTTCAGGGCTTCCAGTAAGTTTGAAGTGACCAGATCTCACCTCCTTCTGAAGCTTACATCAATGGGTGATTTTAACTAGCTGGCTGTCCCCATCTAGAACTTGCTCACAAGGTGTTTTTCCATAGTACTGATACAAATGTAATGACAAGCAAGTGCAGAGAAGGGTTGCAAGCACCATCAATGGAGGCCCAGCAGCTCCGGCATTGTGGTGTGAAAAAAGCTGCCATCCCAAGCAGCAGAGCCTGAAAGGAGTGAAACAGAACAGCAGGGGCACACAGCTGTCCAGTTCTGCCTCATGTAGCTAGGGCAAGAAAATGTGAAGTCTGCTTCCAGAACAGATGCTCCATAATTGAAAGCCTCACACCAGCCTTTTCCCATCTAATGCCCCCAAGGCAGTTGTCCAAAATACACAACAGCCCCAACCCTTGTACTAGAAGAGGCTGGTGGAAGTTAAAGTCCAGAACATCTGGCAGGTGCCAGGCAGGGGCTGACTGCTTTACACTATTATAGTGTGCTTCAAATTGAAGGTAGAATCTAGAGGTGCTTTTGAGCAGTCTTTGTTCTGGACTTGTAGGATAACTTCAAGAGAATCCATCTCCACCACCACAGAGAGTGCAGAACTAAGGACCCTAGTTCTCCAACATTCCTAGTGGAGACTTGTCTATATACTATTTGATGTGTATTGTATAAAACTAGACAGCGTATTAGTATTTAAAACAGTACCCTTTGTTGATCCTGTTTACAGACAAGTGAGCTCTATTTTGTTAAAAAACAGTTTGTTTTACAAAATTCAGATACATCTAATACAAATAACTTCACAAATGACCTATCAGAACAGAAATACTAGATTACAACACAGTTCCAATGTGGCCATTTTAGAGATCTCAGTTGGTAATTCATAAATGTAGCTTGTTACATTGTAGCACCCACCTCACCCCAAATTTTCATGATTCCAGTAATTATTAGCAAATATATTTCTGGAAGTTGAGCCAATTAGCCAGTAGCTTCAACCTCGTTGTGCTAGTCCTCCTTCAGCTGGGTGTAATGTCAGGCAGCTTGGTTTGAAGAAATCTGTGAACGTGGGGCCAGATTTTGTTGGTCTCTGTTCCTGAGAAAGAGTGTAACACTCCTTTGCAGCTACAGAGGAGACAAGAGAAGAGTTAGTCCTACTTGCCTACAGATGGTTTGCCCTTTTGCAGGTCACAAAGATTTTGACAGGGCAACAGAATAATTCCCACCCTTAACCCATGCAGGAACTCAACTGAAAGAGACTAAGAAAAACCAGGACTTTGAGCTGGACAAATTATGCAGATTTGTATATATTTGCATAAGTTTAACAGTGTGTGTATGATATAGGCCCTTTAGAAATTCACTTGGTCTTTTGTTTTTAAGAGCATAAGGGACATGCTAGATCAGACCAAAGGGATGATGGTACCTGTAGCACTCCAGCTGATACTGCAATTCAACCCTTTCAGCCCCAGATGATGGAAGTTGGAATCCAGTATCTTCTGGACAGCTGCAGCTCCCCCATCCTGGCCTATCTAGTCCAACATTCTTTTCTCACCTGGATGCATATGGGAAGGTGTGCAGTGGCACCTTCTGCTCATGGCCCGTAGCAACTGGTATTAACTGGCATATTGGCAGCCACTGATAGCCTCCTCCTCCATGAATTGGTCTAATCCTGCACTTTCACTTGATACTTCCCACTGTTTCAAACCTGTCGTTTGAAAAAGCCTTTATGAATACAACCATTTTCTCTTTAAAAAAAATGTCAAGCATCATGAGAAGAACCTTTAAGCCTCTCACACCAGAGCGGGGATGGGTGACTGTCAGAGGTCCAAGGACACATCCCTGAGCAAAACGGCTGGTTTGTCCCTGCCTCCAACAAATCACCACCATTTGGTAGTGGCCAAAACGGGCAGAGGGAGGCAAAAAGGGCAAAATGTGTAGAACGACTGAGTACTACAGTGGCCAACTTAGTTTGAAAGGAAGTGTGGCTGCTTTCCTACTCAATACCTGCAGGAGTCAAATTTAGCTTTCAGATTCATTTGTCTTTTTAACTTCATACCACACAGAGCTACTGCTGCCAAATTTAGTGGCACATGAGTGGGGAGTGGCACACCATTAAAGGATGTGCAGCTAACAGCTGCCGTTTTTTTACTTGAGAGTAAATGCAACAGTCCCACTCCAAGTTGGGAACCTAGCATGGGAGACAAAGGGACTTTAACTTATCCGCCATGTGGTCCCAGTCCAGATTGGAGGCCTGCACCTGCAGCAAGCTGCAAAAGCACATGATGCCCACAAGTTCTCCTAATAGTGTAAGAACAGGGCTGTTGCACAGGAATATGGGATGGTGCCTGCCTCCTCCCTTTTATGCAGCCCCAAAAGGCACAGGGATGGATTTCTTTTTACCACTTCTGTAGTACCTCTGAAACAGCCCTGAGCAGCTGGGAGGATCTTAGAAAAGAAGAAGTGGAGAGGGAGAATGAGTGCTGTACCCCTAGAACAAGTCTAGTAAGACAAGGCACTTACCGGTAATATTCTAGGACAGGTTTGGTTTGTGCTTCATAAGATTTCAGCCTCTTCATGACCGTTTCTGGTTTGTCATCTTCACGCTGAACAAGAGGCTCTCCAGTATCATCATCATGGCCCTGGTGATGGCAAAGAGACAGAGTCATGTCCATTCCAAAAGGTATTATTTGGCTCACAAATTGTGTTTGAAGGGATTTTATTGGAAAGAGAGACAGCCCTGTCCTGAATTATTCCCCCTTTTACATTCCTTGATATCAGAAATAAACATCCTTTACACTGAATAGCCAAATAGAATTGCATTCCTGGTGGTTAGCTGTATAACATTACACTACACCCACTAGGATTTAGGAAGGGCCACAACCCAGGGACTGAGCACACCCTGACATGCAGAAGGTCCTTCGTGCATGACAACAGCCAGGGCTGTAAGTGCATTTGCAAGAAGATGCAGAGTGATCAAATGATTGGTAGAGTGTTTAGGTGAGAAAAGGGGGGGGGGGATACTGAATTCTGCATGGCTGTGCTAGAGACGGCCAAGACTTACAGCGACTTTGGGAGGATTGAATTCGAGATTGTAGACCCTGCCACTGGCAGGATGGATCCAGCGTGCAGTCAAGCGTTGTTGGATGGTCTCAAAAGGCACATCTAAGTCAATCACAGTATCTATTGGACACACTTTATCCAGGGCTTCAGCCTGTGGAACAGTTCTGGGGAATCCTGTGAAAATGCAAAATGGCATAATCAAAACTCAAAGCACAGAAATGAACTCATAAAGAGATGGACCCTTATCTTAAAAAGACGAATGTCATGGCTTTCCCCATAGCACACAGTTTGCTTACTGGAGCCATCTAGAGACAGGTACTTGGCTGGAACAGTTATCCAGCCTGCCTACTCTGCAGAAAAGCAATGGATGGTCAAAGGATGGCTGTTTTCTTAAGGGGAGATGATGGGAAGGATAGTTGTGCTTTGCATCATGAACTTGGACTGTACAGCATTGCAGAAGTTTCCAAATTTACAATTCTGTGCTACCAAAGGCCCAGGTAAATTTTTGTGTAATCACACATGGAATTGCTATGAGCAATCATTTTTCTTATTCTCCTGAAAACATGCCTGGTTTGGACTGGGATTATAGCACACTAGGAAGAAGGGCTAAACCTCTCTCTCACACACATTTTTGTCTTGAAATTCTACAGGAAGTAAGCAATTTTCATTATTTGCACAGATCTAAGTTCACAGGGGAGAAGATGCAGCCTGAGATGTTCCATTTCTAAACAAAATCTGCCCTATGAAGAACAGGTAGCTTTTTTAATCTCTGAAAAGTATATTCTAGGCCACATTGGTTTCTTTGGTAAAGACTTGTGTCACTATGGGAACTTGAGAAGGTTCAGCTTTTGACCCACTTAAATAAGTTCTAAAGGGTAAGAAAGGCTGCCTGGCCTCTCTGTGTTTAATTTTCTGTGTGCCCTGCCAAGAGGCCACGCTTGGCGGACTGTAAAGTTACAGTGGATCTCTCACCATCCAGCAGCACGTGGTTCTGCTCTAGACTTTTCAGCTCCGTTAGCATCAGCTGCGTCATGATGTCATCAGGAATCAGTTGCCCCTGATCAATATATGACTTAGCAAGTATACCGACTTCTGTAAGAGCAACAACAAACAAAAGCTTTCTTAGAATCCTGTATTGAACCATGCAACTCTCCTGCCAGCCAGCATTTTTAAGGGTTTTTTTTTCCTGTTTTTACACTAAATGTTTATGTCATCTTGTCAAGGGAGAAAGAGAGACCAGGAAAGAGCAGTCACTTCTGGAAAGAAAGTAAGGGCTCTGTTACAGAACTGTCTCAAGACCAATGCAAGGCAAGTTCTGCTGAACAATTAAATTCAAGCCAAAGGTTCTCCTCTTGCAACACCAACATCTCAGCTATGCTAAAACTAAGAATTTCACAGACTGTTCTTCATCTTTCAGTCTCTGAAGGAAGACTATATTAAATGCTGACCAACTAAGCTAAGTAGGTTTGTTTGGTTTTCTTAAAGCCAAATTATATGATGGGGATGACAGCATGAGGTGGTTGCCCTAAGTTTTACATGCACAGGGGACTGAGCTGCACTAGTTGGGTATCACTCAACTATTTTCCCCATTTCCTACCAAACTGCATGTCCCATTTGCCATCTTAACAGGGATGCCTCATCTGGCCATTCCTTCAGCACTGCCTTTGCCAGCCCCTCATTTCTGCAGCCGTTTTTGATGTATACACCTTGCTTCTAAACGGCTAACTTAGAAGTAAATTCCACAGCAATACCTTCAAACATGCAGGATCAGGACAGCTGCCACAGAAACTTCTCCCTATCCAGCATTATTTAGAAACATTTCTACCCCTGCATCCAAAAAGGCTCCTGGAGTGGCTAAGAAGTCAATCCAAAAAATTGTATCTTCCATAGCACTGAGTCAATTAACCAAAACACAATTAAATAGGAACTACTGGCTCTTTTTTCAGCAGCCTCCTCCAACATCATATCTATCTCCTGCAATCTCATTGTTTTAGCTGCTTGCTGTCAGAATAAGTTCATTCTTGCCCTTTTCCTTATCTCCCATAATTAAAGGCTTTGTGTCTTGACTTTCACATGCACACACAGGTTGTTTTAACTTTCCAAACTCCATCTTCCAGTAATCTTTTATCTTACCCATCTACTGTACCAATCAGGTAATTGTTCCTCTAGTTCCCTTCCAAAGGTCACTCCCCATATATTCCCCAGACAGATTCCTAATGCCCTTAAGACAGTGTACAGCAGTGCAACTTTACCTAGAAGTATTTCCCAGAACACAGGCAGATTTGGCTCCTCTGTAAACTTGCATCCGAATGAGATGTGGAGTTCTTTGACTTTGGGCTTACTCTGATTATATATATATAAAAAAATCACCGCACAGAACAGCCCAACTCCACATTTTAGTAACACACATCATAACAATCCCTCATTTTAATTTCTGCCCTCCCACTCCACCCATGGTTGCTTTTACCACCATTCTGTTTCAGTGAGGAACTGCTACAACGGTTCTCTTAGACCTATCTGTGATAGCTTATACCAGCGGCAGTGAAAAAAAGTATCAGCGTCGTCATGCATGTCAGTCCTTCAAATATCAATACAAGTAAATGTTTAACTCACATGGACTTGTGACTGCTGCAGTGTACACTTAAACTGCCTGTATTTAAACAGTATTTAAATTGCTAAAGACCTCAAATTCAAAGGCATGTGAGATATCAGTAAAGTACAAGGAGGGAGAAAATTAAGTAACCCCAATTACGAAAATGCCATTGAGTAACTTTTAAGTAACTAGATTTGTGTCTTACATGTAATGTGCTAGACACAATGTGTGTAATGTGAGAAATAGAGAAATATCATAGTCTCTATTTCTATCACACATACAAAGGCTCTGGGAGGAACAGGAGAATAAACTTTGGCGTTTGCATGCACATGTACCAGTTGCTGAACCTTCACGTACTCAGCCACACCAATGTATAAAACAGCAGTGTTGGCATTGCTGGTTGATGCTCACTATGGAAAAAGAAAGTGCACCAGTGTGGCCTAGTGGTTATAGTGCTGAGCTGGGGCTTGGGAGATCAAGGTTTCAGTCTAACAAAGTACACTGCATGACTTTGGGCCACTCCGGGATTCTCAGATTCACCTACTTCACAGCGTTGTTGTTATGAGGACCTAATGGAGAGGAGAAGAATCTTAAGCCACTGTGGATTCCTTGCAAGAGGAATAAAAGTGAGGTAATATAATAAAATATTTAAAAATAATACCAGAACTATAAATCCATGCTGGTGTTTCATCAGTCAAGTAAAGATCTTAATGGAGCAAGCTTTTGGCCTTAACCCAACAGAGCTGTTTTTATAGTCTTGGCACACTTCCAATGCTAAATTAACATGTCAAACCAGCATTACAAGACAAGTGCATGAAGTGTTGGCCAGCGCTACACCAGAAAGCAAGTACCATATATCCCCCCATCCCCATGACAGTTTTAACTTTAGCCTATCATTCCAGGAGCAGACAAGAATGTGGTGCAGGCAGGCATATTGTGAACACAGCCCTCAAGCCAATGCTGGACCATGAATGTCCACAGCCTGTGCCACAAAAGCTGGGGTACCTATTTGTTAAGCACTGGGCAGTGTGGGAGCTTCAAAAGGCCAGAGCAAAGTGGCAATTACAAGAGGAGCTGGGGGAGGCCGGATATATTCACAAACCTGAATCATTTAAAATTGCTACCTGGAGTACAGCGGCTTCCTTCTCTCACCCCCACAATTCTAAGCCAGACAAGAAACAGCTGCTTAATTTCTGCACATTTCGCATCTGTTTAAGGCAATGGAGCCCTGCTAAATTGAAAAGGTGGCAATGACGCTAAAGTCTAAGGTTACCTTCCTTGAGACCCTGCCGCCTCCTCGCTTCAAAGTCCCTGTCACTGGCTCCCAGATGCTTGCTACTGGGCTCCACTGGGCATGATACATCTAACGCGTTCCTCGTATCTCTCTCTCTCCTTGCACACACAACCCCAAAACACTTAAGTAGCCTTTCCTACCGGTCTTCTTGTTCATGTTTTCGCGGAGCAGATCCCCGCTGGAGAGGTGCTTCAGGGCGAAGTGCTTGACAATGCGCAAAGAGATGGTGCCCTTCCCGGACCCGGGTGGCCCCATGATCACCGCCCGCAGCAGCAGCGCCCGCACCACCATGGCAGAATCGCTTTGCTGGGAGAGGAAAGAAGCGCAACCGCGGCCTTTGCTCGGCTTGCACCCGGCGTCGCTCAGCACCAGGGGGTCTCCCCACCCCAGGCCATTCTCGGCTCAACCCGATCACGCAGAGCGCGCTGCTGAGCGAGCTATTTATCCCCCCGCCCACCAGTTTGCGGCGCAAGCAGAAGCGGCGTCGGCGGCTGCAGGAACTGGGGCACCGCTGCCACGCCGAGACAGCTCCGGATTCGCTCCTCCCCCATTTGGCCCGGCCCAACGCAGCTGTCCAGCCTCGCTTCGCATTCCAACTCCAGAAGCAGGCCTCGCAACATTTTTACTTTTGGAGGTTTCCTTCCGCTTCCAGATTGTTTCGTCTTGCCTTGAATTTTCTTTTCCAGTGCTCTTAAAGCGCAAAGCCATTTTTAAAGAGAGCAATCATTAATCCGGAATGGAAACCACCCGCTCGGGGCCTAAGACCACGAGACGCTCTCACACCTCTCCGAGAGCGGGCGCTTTGGCTTCCTGGCGCTTTTATTCAGCGAGGCGAGGAGCCGAGCGGTGCAACCGTGCGCGGCGAAAGCAGCCGCTCCTCCCGTCCGAGGAGAAAAGAAAAGCCGTCAGCCGCGCGGACGCGGCCCCGGCTGGGGGTCGGCGGGGGCTGCTCGTGTCTCCGCTTTTGTCCGTCCCCTCTGGGCCCCCTGTTGCCTGGCTTGGGGGCCCGCTGCGGCCGCCATCTGCACTCCCTCGCTTGCCCTCGTTCTTTCCGGGCAGCGGAGCGGAGGGAGCGGGCGCGCTCTGCGCAGCAAGGGGCCGTGTGTGGGTCTAGCTGGCCGTGTGCTCTGCAGGGGGGCACGTAGATCGCCACTGGTTTCGCAGTTCAAGCCCTAGTATTCCTCTACTCACTCCTGCCCTGCACCGCCCACCAGGAAACGTTTCCAAAGCAGCACACTTACCGAGCAGCGCGTTAGTAAAGCCGGGGAGACGCGGTTGCGCGCGCTTACGGCGTAAGGGCAGCACGCGGAGGATCCTAACTTTCGGAAAGGCGCCACGGGCTCCATGCCCTGTGCTGAAGCTCTGCAGACTTTTGATCAAATTCCAACTAAGTGCAGTGGTCTGTATTGTTTTCTGACAATACACATACCGTACACACGCTTATACTTCCGCTCCTTCGGTAGGTACTGCGCTCCCACTTCATTCTTGTTGCAGATGTCCAACAAGCAGCTCCGTTAGAGATTCGGAATTCGTGACTTTGTTTCTTTTGTTCTCTTGATGGATGTATTCTTATTCTGCGGCGTTCCTTTTGTTGTCCTTAACATGATATCAAAATGCACGTTCACGTGGAAAATAGAGAGGGCAAAATGAGTAGCAGCCAAAGGAAGAGGCCACTGTGGCTGACGTGCCGTACCCCCTCCTTCCCCTCCTCTCCCCGCCGGTGAGGGAAACCAGCTGGCCACGACCCACGGAGCCTGATCTTTCCTGCAGCGCTGCGCAAGCAGCAAGGATGCACAAGCAGGTGGAGTGTTGCAGCGGGGAGGACAAGTGCCCGCATAGTGTGAGTCCTCGCAGCCCTAAGCAACCATCACTTGCCCAGTTCTTGCTGCTGAAATAAAGAAGGACTGAGCAAATGGGTTAAGACAGTCTTCTCCAAATTGGTGTCTTCCAGACATATTTGGACTGCAACACCCGGAATTTCCAGTCAGTGGCCTTGCTGGATGGAAATTCTAGGAGGCCACCAGGTTGGGGAAGACCAGGTTAAGTGACTACCCCCTCCCCCGGTTGGATGCATGGCCCGGGGGAGACCAGCTGGTATCCTGTGCAGAGTTTCCTTAGAATCACCCATCTTTTTCTTTTCCCAACTAGAAGGACCAGGTAAGCCAGGGGTCCTCAAACTTTTCCACCAGGGGGCCACTTGAAAGGTGCCAGTGCTGGGCACGGGCCAGAAAGGTGGTGCCGGCAGTGCTCGCGGGCTGGCGCGGGGGCAGAGGCGGGGGCAGCGCGTGCGGGCATGCACACTTAGGCGGGGGCAGCGCGTGCGGCAAGGCAAGGCACAGGCAGGCAGGCGCACACGGCGAGGGGAGGCGAGGCGAGGCGGGGTGGGCACGCACCGCGAGGCGGGTGCATGAGGCAGTGGCTTGCTTGCTTGCTTGCTTGCTTGCTTGCTTGCTTGCTTGCTTGCTTGCTTGGAGATCGCTTTCTCCGAGAGATCAAACCACCGCCTCCCCACGTGCAGGGCGAGGTGGGCGGCGGGGTGCTCACGCAGTGGGTCCAAATAGGCATGGCAGGCTGGATCTGGCCCCCAGACCATAGTTTGAGGACCCATGAGGTAAGTGATGGTTCTGCTTGCCCCCACTGCACATCTGCGTGTCCCACTCTAGATGGCTGTTCATCCAGTGTCTTTGCTCCGTGCAGGGAGAAGAGTTAGGCTTGGCCACTGAGAGGAGGCAGCCAGCCCCTTCGTCTGCTTACCTGCCTTCTCCCACACGGTGATGTGGATGATTGGGCTGAGGAGGCACAAGGTCAGTGGGATGGACTTCTGGGGTGGGTGTGCAGGAGGCGTGCACACTCTGTAAATGGTGTGTGTGAGAGATGGTAAGCACTATGATTCTGGATGGACAGCTCCTAGCACCACAAGTCAAAAGGCACGGTGCACCTGCTGGATTTTCCTCCTTAAAAGACATTTAGGAGTTTATTTCATAACAGTACCTCCCTGATATCCCCAAATGTCTCTGGTTTTGAGACAAAGGTCCCAAAACTATCTGAAGACAAAATATTGCAGCCCACAGCACCCAAGTAATATTTTCTGTTGGTTCAGATTTTTATCTAGTTGCTGGTAGCTTTCCAGACACCCTTTAATTTAAAAAAAAAACTTGGTTGTGATTCACTTTGAGATGTCTAGGTGCAAGAAGTCTACCTCTTTGGGCCATTACTCAGTTAATCCAGAGAGTTCCAGTTAAAGTCAAAGATATATTGCTTTCTCCAATAAATAGTTTGTGGAAAGCAAGGCCTCCTATCTTGTCTCCCAGAGTCCTCTAAACCAGTGGAACAGCATGTAACCCTTATGCTACTGATAAGACTGGGCAATTGGCTGCACCAATTTCAGGTTTCTATTTTTAAGCATGTCTCTGGTCTCGGGTGCAATAAACTCAGTAACTTATGCAACTGTTTGAATCCATTAGATGTTTCATCTTTTCATTGAGTGAGTTATTTTAAACCCTTCTAAATGCTCCAACAATCCCTCATACTAGGCTTCCTCAAATGCAGACACTGGTTTTCTCCCCTGCATTTAAAAAATGGTCATTTGTTAGTTTACAACTTTTAGTCAGTAATCACACAAGATAACATAAAAAGTAATGTCATTTGATGTTAGGTCTAAAGCTAGGGGGCAAACATTATGAAGAGACTCCTAAACTGCTCCATTAAAAAAACAGATTTTCCTTCCCAAATACCCAAACATTATATTAACATTTCCACATGATGATAGAATACCCTAAAATAGTTATTCTCAGGCCTTGATCTGTGAACCCACTGAATACAGAACGTTCTGCAGAATGTGTGTTACTAATGCTTCACACGCTGAAGGGATTCACATAATGCAACAACTCCAGTGAGTAACTAGTCACAGGGGGCATGTGTGGGAATCGGACGCAGACAGCGTCCTGCAGCGTGACTTATTTTCAGCCATTCTGACAACCCATAGCTGCGTGTAGGTGTTGTGCCAGGGGCTGCTTGATTCATGAACCTGGGAGGCAGGTTTATCCCCAGCTGCAGGGACTGGCTAGAGACAGGCTCAGCAAGAGCAGTGAAACCTGCTGCTGCTCTGTGGTTTTGCTCAAGTTGCCACTGGTGACAGCTAAGCCTGATGTTCCAGCAGCACTTTGCAACAAACTATCACTAATTTACCTCCTTTTCAGACCAGAAAATGTGCAGTTGTGCTTGTTAGTGTATTACTATTACTGCCAATCTTTTGCAAATGTGCAAGTGGACACTTACACAAAATGCCCTGCCATTTACTTCCTAGCCATTACATTTGCATTTATTTCTGGGCAGGGGGGATGTTTAAAACTGTCAGTGAACCACAGAAAATGCAGCAATAAGTGCTCATAAAAAGAACCCTGAGAAAAAAAGGAGAGATTACTTTCCTCCCATTCTGGAGTAGCTGAAGATTCTGAACAGTGTTGAAAAAGTTGGAGAAACTAACAACTGTCAGTTCATTTAAAAGAGAGAGGATAACACTAACCTTTCCCTTCCTCCTTTGGCTGCATCTCCTTTTGATGCTGTTTTCCCTTAGCTGGTGCTTTTCAAGACAGGATGAGTTCTGATGTGAAGGAGACTGGGATTCCAGCAGCCAGCTGGAGGACATGATAAAACATCCTTTTCATGTGTATGCATGAAAGTGCATGTAAAATTAAAAACCAGGATGTGGCAAGTGACCCCCTCTTTCATCCTGGTGTATAGCAATCTCTGTTTTCTCTCCTTTATTTGTCAGGAAATCCAAAAGCAGAGCTAAGTGTATCTTTCACCACTATGTGTATTGGTACAGGTCTTTCACTTTTAACAGCTACAGTTATGTAAATAAAGCATTCCTTATCACTAAATTGTCATGCCAGGAGAAGATTCCCCCACTAGATTTCTTTGTGACAAACATCTGAAAAAAAGACAGACAAGCTCTGCTGAAGAAGTTGTTGTTGTTGGCCTGGTGATGCTATGAACAGTGATGGAACTGTTATTTTTTTAGTTGGACGTGACAAATACATTGTCAGGTATTCAAGGAGAATTCAAAAATGCAGACAACAAACCAATTCTGCATGTTTTCTTCCCAAACAAGAACAGATCTTTTGTAAGGTCTTAATTGTTCATGCAAGACCATCCTTTCGAAAATACTTTCCATGATAACAGGACAATATACCCTTGCTGAGATAATTCATTTCCCCTTCAGCTGCTGTAAGGACTGCAGCTAAGCTGGGAGGAGCAGGGAATTCTAAGCTGACATCAACTAATCAACATGCTGGCACACCAACCCTGCGGGTACTGTTGGCTCTGCTGTTGTGAGCGGTGGTTCTCCTCTTGAGTAAATGGATGTATCCTCAGCTGCTTTTCCAAAAGGTGTTATTGTTACATGCCTCTGAGTTCACACAGAGTGAAATGTTGAGCCCTCTCTGAATTCTTCATTCCCAGCCTTCCTTACAGTCCTTTTGGCATTTGGCTCCTGCGTGTGGAGCACTGTGGAATTGTGCCCGCCTTCACTGCTCCCATTTGTCACCCAGCTGAACCTCCCGCTGGGGCTTCTGCCTGGCAACTGGGTAGCGCCTCTTCTATGCTAGGACTTCTATGTCAGACAGGCCCCTCGGCTCCCTGTTCCCACTCCCCTGTGGCGGATCAGGCCCATCCTCTGACTGTGCCCCATTCCCACAGGGCAGACCAGAGTTCTTGTCAGGCTCCAGCACCAACTCCTCATCTCATATCTCCC